TACGGTCAGGGGTACCTAGTCTTTGAGTTTGAAGTGCTACCGTAATTAAAAAGTCCTTTTCTCGAATTTGTGTTTTGTTGGGCAACTTTAGTCGATGGCATGATCAAACATTGACGCCGCCCTTGCCGGGCTGTAACTAGTAGTGTAATGTTATATGATACATAGTCGATTATAACACCGACTACTTCCAAAGTTCAATACTCGGAGGTCGAGATTCAATCTCTTAGGACCTCTGGCCGCAAAACATGGCCCAGTAGTCCCTGGGGACTCCGGCCATGCAACTCGGCCTAAGTAATGGGGTTTGGGGCAGATTTCTTCCACTCATGAGAGGACAGTTTTGCGTCACAGCCTCCCTTGCCCAATGAGTATTACGGTCGGGACGTGGGGTTGAAACAGTTTTACTTCCTCTCCGGAGGTAACGTGGTGAAGCCACCCCCACGGTCCAGGGAGACGTGCCTTCCTTGGTGTGGGACGGCTTTACTTCCACTCCGGGAGTAGTCATGAGCTTAACTTTCTCCCACCGTTCGTAAGAGTTGTACGAGCAATTTGGTTCCCAACGAATTGTTTCCCTCCGGGGAGACGTTTCGTTGCCTCGGGCCCGCTACCCGGGAGCGGTTCGGACTGGACTGTGAAGGGTCAAAACGGCTTTTACTTCCTCTCCGGGGGAGGTTTTGCGTTACCTCAACCCACCGTTTTGGGAGTGGTTCGGACTGGACGTAACGGGGACGAAACGGTCGCCTATGGGCGGCTTTGTCAGGGCCGTGTCTATTTAATCATTGGCAAGGGTTTGGGCGGCCATCCACTGCCTCATACCCATCACCGGCAACACGTAATCATGTTAGCGCTTGAATTTCCGTTGCGTTGGAATCATGCGTTTTGCCTGGGATCTTTTAGCTTCAGAGGGAGAAAACTCCACCCTACTAGTCAGGCACGCCACGGAGAGGCAAGATCCCATGTAACACCACCGAGAGCTTGTGGTGCTGGGCAAGATCCCATGTAACACCACCGAGAGCTTGTGGTGCTGGGCAAGATCCCATGTAACACCACCGAGAGCTTGTGGTGCTGGGTAAGAGAGGCAAGATCCCATGTAACACCACCGAGAGCTTGTGGTGCTGGGTAAGAGAGGCAAGATCCCATGTAACACCACCGAGAGCTTGTGGTCCTGAGTAAGGATTTTCCAAAGGTTCACCCTAAACTCGCCTGAACACCGGCTACTAAAATGTTTTTCTGTTAATCAGAAACGGCAATGTTAGAGTCAGTATATCAAAAAGCGTCTCTCCCATATCACTGTGGTTCTGGTTTCGTCCTTTAGGTGTTGTTGGCCGATGGATCTGATTTTTTCCCGTCTGCCAAGGTGAGCAGGTGCACTGGGGTCGTCGTGGCCCCTGGCGTCCAATCGTCTGCGTGGGGACTCCTGCAACAGTTCGTTGACGTGGAAGCTTCCTCGGAGTTTTCCCGTTTCCACAAGCCGGACCTACCGGAACTGACGTCAGCCATTTTAGTCTCCAGGGACAGCACGGGGTACATTTATTTAGAAAGTGTTCTTGTATTTTGTTTTGTTTATAACATGGGCACTATTAGAGGATATGTTCCCTTCAAGCTTCGTCTACAGTGCAGGTAAAGAGTCACGTGTCGTTGTTCGATTATTGATAATGGGGCAATTTAAATACTTTATTTAGTTCTGCCCTTTAAAGTCATATCGCATTGATTGGGATACTACAGATATCTGTTTCGGAATATTTTCAAAAAGTAATATCAGGCTACTCACATATGAAATACAGGTCCATGAATGTGCTAAACTAATTAAAAGCTTATTTAACAAATGAAGATAACTTAAATCACGGGGTGTACGAACAATGTTGCTACTGAGAAACTCGGGTCTCAATGAATATGAAAAAAAAAACAACAACAGATTCTGTATACAGATTAAGCTATCAAATTTTTAGCAAGTCATTTAAACATCGAAGTGGCTATTCGGACCCGTGTCCGAGAAGTTGGAGGTTGGGATTAAAATTTAAAAAAATAATTTATTGTTCGGTTGTAAAAAACAATTTAGTATCAAATGAAAGATAATTGAATGGACTAATATGTTTGTAAACATAATGCTTATGTTTAAATAAAATAAACTACCACAAATGACATCCGAATAGCATTGAGTCTATAGGGACCCGGGTCCGAATAGCGGCGATGCGTTTCTGATTCCATCTTGACTCAGTGCTATTCAGACGTCATTTGTGGTAGTTTATTTTAGTTAAACTTTAGAAGTAAGTTTACAAACATATAGTCCATTCAATTAGCTTTCATTGATATCAAATTTCGTCTTACAAACCCTACAATAATTTTTAAATATATTTTAATAAACTCAGACTCTAACTTCTCGGACCCGGGTCCGAATAGCCGCAGCCTTTAAACATATATGCTTTTCCTTCAGAGCTAAGAAATCTTTTCTCGAAAATTTGAGAACCTCTGATGATGACATCTTGGTGACAGAGCTTGACCCAGAAGATATTGTCATCGTATTTATCACATCCGGAACCACCGGCTACTCCAAACTTGTGCCTCGTTCCAGCTCAGACCTGAAGGCGTCCTCCGGATTCCAGACAATGGCGGCTTCTAGTCTGCAACACGCGGACCAACCACAGGACTATGCTCAAATATATTACAGTGACAGAATGCTGGGTAGGTTGTCACGGTTGAGGGGGTAGTTGACAGATTTTAGGGTGAAGTGTGTTGGGTAGAATTTAGGGTAAAGTGTGTTTGGTAAGAGGTAAGGTGAAATGTATTGGGTAGGAGTTGAGGTGAAGTGTGTTGGGAAGAAATAAATGTGAAGAGATTTGTGTAGAAGTTAAGGTGACATGTGTTGGGTAGAATTGAAGGTGAAATGTGTTTGGTAGGATCTAGGGTGAAATGTATTGGGTATGAGTTAGGGTGAATCATGTAAGGTCGGATTTAGGGTGAGGTATTCTGTGCAAAATTTAGGTAAGGATTTGGTAGAACAGGATTTATGAAAAAGTATTGTTGAGTGTAAGGATTACGGCTGGGGTACTTTGTATTTGATGTATGGCAGCGTATGAATCTTTGTTTAGCAAACATTCACTAATGTTTTTTTTTTATTCCAGGCTGGATTGGAGGATTCCCATTCAGCACGTACTGCAATGGCGTTACAAGAGTTCTCTTGGACAGCTTCTGCAATGATGGAGTGATCGACCCTGGCGTCATTATCAACGCCGTCAGGACCGAGGGTTGTCCTTTCATGGCCGTGTTGCCGCTTGAGTTCGAGCAGATCCTCAGGTACCTGACATCTCAAGAACCGTCCTGGACGAAAATAGGCGCCATCGTGACAGGCGGTCAGCCACTGCCAAAGGTTCTATACATTTCAAAATAGGTGTATATTTATAAATTTTGGTTTTTGTTTTCAGTTTTAAACCAGTTACGTTGTAATATTACCCTTACGATAGGTCTCAAGTTTTCAGATTCATCGATAATGGTTTATTTTCATGGTGGGGTGTTTATCAAAGCTCAGCCCACCAGAGTTATTTCGAGAAAAAAACATGTGAGCTGAGGATACAAGTCAATACGTTAGCGGGACAATGATACAACTACTGTGTGAGACAAAGAGGGTCTCTGTCCAAGTGCAGCTCTGTCAAAAGGTAGTTCAGTCTAAGGGCAATTCAGTCTAGGGGCAGTTCAGTCTAAGGGCAGTTCAGTCTAGGGGCAGTTCAGTCTAGGGGCAGTTCAGTCTAGGGGCAGTTCAGTCTAAGGGCAGTTCAGTCTAGGGGCAGTTCAGTCTAGGGGCAGTTCAGTCTAAGGACGGATCAGTCTAAGGGAAGGTAAACCTAAGGGTTTAGAACTTGAGACACATCTGACAGTGATGTTAATTTGGTTCGGCTTGATTTGGTTTAAATGATACCATCATCAAATTCAAGTTTTAATATAAACCGTTAAAAAAAATTAACAACTAATTTGATATGTTTAAATTATAAATTGGATCAAATCTAGCCATTCTCGTTATTAACTTATTAATGTGTCGGGGGGTTCCCCAGTGTGTTGTTTCAAACATGCTGAAGGTGGCTGAGAAGGTTGGAATTGTCTACGGATCTACGGAAGCAAGCATCGTAACTTGGTAGGTTGTTGAAGGTGAGACTAGAGTTGGGCTTTAAGGGGTTAGAAATTAGGTGACTTGATGTCTTTTAAAATGAAGTGAAATGTTTTAACCACGTGACTATCTTAAACGGAAAAAATGCCAGCTATAATTGGAGTAAATAAAAGATATAATCACTGTATAGGATTTCATTTAAGAGAATAGAAAAATAATGAAATGTCTGTACTACTAATAACGTCGGATTGGAATTGGCGTCGGTGGGTCGTCGAGACGCGAGCTCATAATACATCTCCCCGGGCACATCCCCACAGAGGCCGACGCCGGGTCTCCCCACCGCCAGACCGTGCGGAAACATGTCGGGAACCTTCCCCCCTTGCCTGGGGGACGTCCGGTCGACTGAGGACGCTGCGTTGAATGCGTCCGCGGTCCACTCTCCTTGGGTCTGAACGGCTTTGCTTCCTCTCCGGGGGAAAGGCGTTTCGTTACCTTCCCCCACCGTCCAGGGAGCTGTTCTTTACTACATTGTTCGAAGGTTCTAAAACAAGGGTAATCACTGTATATGATTTTATTTAAGAAAATAGAAAATAATGTAATGTCTTTACCTCATTGTTCAAAGGTTCTAAAAACAAAGGTAATCTCTGTATATGATTTCATTTAAGAGAATAAAAAAAATAATATAATTTCCTTATCTCATTGTTCAAAGGCTCTAAAACAAGAGTAATCCGGCCCCACAAAAGCCGGACAGCTATTGTTACAATGCAGATTTAAAAAACAAAAAAAAAAACAACGTATCACATCGGTCGGAATTCAGCAAAATTTTTGGAAATGATATAAAAATAAATAAGAATTCATGATCTTACCGATCTTCAACGACCCGTTGCAGATGTGGATCGCTACGAGGCGTACAATTGTGGAAAGGCTTACGGTCCTTTCAGTCTGCGCGTCGTACGAGATGATGGAGAACTGTGCCAGGCCGGAGAAGTTGGAACGATACACGTTCAAGGTCGGTGGTTACATTTTTTTTACTCTATTATCGGATTCTAAATTTCATTTTGACTTACTAACCCGGACTTAGCTACAACGATTAGTGTGGCCTGAGTTTCGTGACGCCTGGGTTGGCCTTTGGTATTGAGAACATTAAGACTTGATATACTCAAGCCTGTTTCACCTCTGTGGCGTAATAATTCGGGCTGTAATAGCAGTCCGTGTGACATCCTGTTCCTGGCAATGGGTGATAATTCCTACCCCTATTTAAAGTTACAATTCATGACACTCTATCCCTGTTTAAAGTTACAATTCATGACACTCTATCCCTGTTTAAAGTTACAATTCATGACACTCTATCCCTCTTTAAAGTTACAATTCATGACACTCTATCCCTGTTTAAAGTTACAATTCATGACACTCTATCCCTGTTTAAAGTTACAATTCATGACACTCTATCCCTGTTTAAAGTTACAATTCATGACACTCTATCCCTCTTTAAAGTTACAATTCATGACACTCTATCCCTGTTTCAAGTTACAATTATTGACACTCTATCCCTGTTTAAAGTTACAATTCATGACACTCTATCCCTGTTTAAAGTTACAATTCATGACACTCTATCCCTGTTTAAAGTTACAATTCATGACACTCTATCCCTGTTTAAAGTTACAATTCATGACACTCTATCCCTGTTTAAAGTTACAATTCATGACACTCTATCCCTGTTTAAAGTTACAATTCATGACACTCTATCCCTGTTTAAAGTTACAATTTATGACACTCTATCCCTGTTTAAAGTTACAATTTATGACACTCTATCCCTGTTTAAAGTTACAATTTTTGACACTCTATCCCTGTTTAAAGTTACAATTCATGACACTCTATCCCTGTTTAAAGTTACAATTCATGACACTCTATCCCTGTTTAAAGTTACAATTTATGACACTCTATCCCTGTTTAAAGTTACAATTTATGACACTCTATCCCTGTTTAAAGTTACAATTTATGACACTCTATCCCTGTTTAAAGTTACAATTCATGACACTCTATCCCTGTTTAAAGTTACAATTTTTGACACTCTATCCCTGTTTAAAGTTACAATTTATGACACTCTATCCATGTTTAAAGATCAATCTATGATATGCTGTCCCTATTTAACGATACAATCTATGATATGCTGTCCCTATTTAACGATACAATCTATGATATGCTGTCCCTATTTAACGATACAATCTATGATATGCTGTCCCTATTTAACGATACAATCTATGATATGCTGTCCCTATTTAACGATACAATCTATGATATGCTGTCCCTATTTAACGATACAATCTATGATATGCTGTCCCTATTTAACGATACAATCTATGATATGCTGTCCCTATTTAACGATACAATCTATGATATGCTGTCCCTATTTAACGATACAATCTATGATATGCTGTCCCTATTTAACGATACAATCTATGATATGCTGTCCCTATTTAACGATACAATCTATGATATGCTGTCCCTATTTAACGATACAATCTATGATATGCTGTCCCTATTTAACGATACAATCTATGATATGCTGTCCCTATTTAACGATACAATCTATGATATGCTGTCCCTATTTAACGATACAATCTATGATATGCTGTCCCTATTTAACGATACAATCTATGATATGCTGTCCCTATTTAACGATACAATCTATGATATGCTGTCCCTATTTAACGATACAATCTATGATATGCTGTCCCTATTTAACGATACAATCTATGATATGCTGTCCCTATTTAACGATACAATCTATGATATGCTGTCCCTATTTAACGATACAATCTATGATATGCTGTCCCTATTTAACGATACAATCTATGATATGCTGTCCCTATTTAACGATACAATCTATGATATGCTGTCCCTATTTAACGATACAATCTATGATATGCTGTCCCTATTTAACGATACAATCTATGATATGCTGTCCCTATTTAACGATACAATCTATGATATGCTGTCCCTATTTAACGATACAATCTATGATATGCTGTCCCTATTTAACGATACAATCTATGATATGCTGTCCCTATTTAACGATACAATCTATGATATGCTGTCCCTATTTAACGATACAATCTATGATATGCTGTCCCTATTTAACGATACAATCTATGATATGCTGTCCCTATTTAACGATACAATCTATGATATGCTGTCCCTATTTAACGATACAATCTATGATATGCTGTCCCTATTTAACGATACAATCTATGATATGCTGTCCCTATTTAACGATACAATCTATGATATGCTGTCCCTATTTAACGATACAATCTATGATATGCTGTCCCTATTTAACGATACAATCTATGATATGCTGTCCCTATTTAACGATACAATCTATGATACGCTATACATGAGTAAGGTCAATGCCCCACGTTCCTGTCTATATTCTCAAACTATGACACACATTCCCCGACCACCGAAAGTACCACCCAGGGCTGAGTTTGCAAACTGTGAAGTAATACCTTCACCAACGGTTTCATTTTTAGATTTCCTAGCAACGTCCATCACTGTCTAACTTGGTTAAATCTAAATAGGCTCGCCACCTCGTAGTAAAAAGTCCAGTTGGTGAGCAAATCTCTTAAATAATAATTTTTTTTTATACCTGGACAGCTCCCAAAATTTTCCGAGGATTCTTCAATCGCCTTGAAGACCCCGACCCGCAGACACGAAAAGCTTTCACTGAGGACGGCTGGCTGAACATGGACGACAACGGCTACCTTGACGAGCACGGCGACATCTTCGTGTTGGGACGCAAGAACGACGTCATCACGTACGGCGCATCGACTCTGTATCCCGGTTGGCTGGAGAAGAAAATCATGGAGTACCCGGATGTAGAGCAGGCTTGTGTGGTCCCGGTGGGTAGTTATAATTGGGCCATGTCTACTGGCTTGTGTGATCTCACAAACAACAATTAGATTGCATTTTGTCTTTGAGATCTGCATTTAAACTATAACACACAGTGTTGTAATTTCGTTTTTAATCACACAGTTCATTTGAATTTGTTCATTGTCGCTTGTAACAAATTTTTACTTTGGTTGTCTTGAAAATGTTGTAGGTATCTGATCCTGTTTTGTATCAGAACATCTGCGCATGTCTAAAGCCCGTACCGGGAAGTGACCTCAAGATGAGTAAACTAAAAGAACACTGTGAGACGATATTTGTTAAACACACCCACCAGGGACTGGCGCCTGTGCCACAGTTGTTTCTGGTAAACCAGCGTTCTTTTAAGAAACAAAAAGTCATTATCATTTCGATTAACATACACTCATACCATTAACATACACTCATGCCATTAACATACACTCATACCATTAACATACACTCATGCCATTAACATACACTCATGCCATTAACATACACTCATGCCATTAACATACACTCATGCCATTAACATACACTCATACCATTAACATATACACATGCCATTAACATACACTCATACCATTAACATACACTCATACCATTGACATACACTCATACCATTAACATGCTCTCTAACAGTTGTAAAGTGTTAACTGGTGAATGAATGAGAGAAAAGCTTTAAGACGCTAAAGTGAGTTAACAACATACATTTGTGTCTAGGAGTCTTTGAAAAGCGTTTCATACTTTTGATAATAGATAATGAATAAAATAATTTATATGTCCATATGATTCATAGAAAAATTGATATTCACTTTTGTAAACAAAGGACAACTAATTCAATGGTAATTTTTTTCAAAATTTCTCCCAAGACCATAAATAAAAGGAAATAGCTCATGAAATAACTCTAGAACTTACCCCTGGCTCATATCCTCACAGTCATCCTCCCACCACGACATTCAAACGGGAAAATCAAAATCGGATTTTCCCCATTTCTAAAACTGGTGGAGGAAAGATGTTAAGTGTCTTTTATTGAACAAAAATAACAGGAAAAAAAACCATCAACAGCCATCAAACGTCCATCATACAAAATGATCTCGTGATGAAAGACAAAGATCTGTCATACAAAATAATCTCGCGATGAAAGACAAAAATCTGTCATACAAAATAATCTCGTGATGAAAGACAAAGATCTGTCATACAAAATAATCTCGTGATGAAAGACAAAGATGTGTCATACAAAATAATCTCGCGATGAAAGACGAAGATCTGTCATACAAAATAATCTCGTGATGAAAGACAAAGATCTGTCATACAAAATAATCTCGCGATGAAAGACAAAGATCTGTCATACAAAATAATCTCGCGATGAAAGACAAAGATCTGTCATACAAAATAATCTCGTGATGAAAGACAAAGATCTGTCATACAAAATAATCTCACGATGAAAGACAAAAATCTGGTATACAAAATAAACCTCGCGATGCTAGACAAACTTCTATCATACAAAAGAAGCTCGCGATGAAAGACAAACATCTATTAGACAAAGGAATGTCGCGATGAAAGACAAACATCTATTAGACAAAGGAATGTCGCGATGAAGATATTTGAAAAGTTGCGACATTATTTCTTTTTTTTTTTGTGCAAATGAACACTTCCCAGGTTCTGGGGGACGACTTCCCAGAAACCCTCAACGGGAAACCAGACAGACGTAAGTTGAAGGAGCTGGCGGAGAAGACGTACGGCATTGTGGCGTAACTGTACCAACGAAGACATCAACACAATGTGCTGGATAGCGTGCTGATCACTGGGAAGGCCCGTGGATCACTAAGACTTACTCTGCCTATGAAGATATGCTACGATAACATGTATATCTATGAACTGTCTGTATCTCTATGCTTTTGGGATAACCACGATATTCTAACACAGGATTTGTGTGTTGCACACGCTCTCTCTCTCTCTCTCTCTCTCTCTCTCTCTCTCCTCTCTCCCTCTCTCTCTCCCTCTCTCTCTCTCTCTCCCTCTCTCTCTCTCCCTCTCTCTCTCTCTCTCTCTCTCCCTCTCTCTCTCTCTCTCTCTCTCTCCCTCTCTCTCTCCCCCCTCTCTCTCTCCCTCTCTCTCTCTCTCTCACTCTCTCTCTCACTCTCTCTCTCTCTCTCTCTCTCTCTCTGGAGTCTTTTGAAATATTAACGATGTTAAGAGACATCAAATAATCTATCAACACTTTTTGTAAGGCTATTACAATTAATCGTATTTAGACGACATTGTCTGAAATGTACCCCCTCCTTCCCCCCCACCCAACCCATAAAAGGTATCTGAAAGAAACAGTTGATCTTACAACCAAATCACGTGACGACCCACTACGCCCTCCCGTAATTACAATGGCAAGTTAACCTTGCTAACATTTTAACTATGTTCCCTCTTGCTATGGTATTTTCCCCGCCATTTGAGTAACAGTAATGAAGAGAAAAATGATGCTTGCGAATCGTACCATCTCTTTGTAAGAGATCATATATGAGCCTTGATCGTACTCTCTCTGGCAGGGTTGGGGATCATCTCACAGGGGTGGGGATCATCTCAGAGGGGTGTGGATTTTCTCACAGGGTTGGGGACATCTCACAGGAGTGGGGATCATCTCACAGGGTTGGGGATCATCTCACAAGGGTTGGGATCATATCACAGGGGTTGGGGATCATCTCAAAAGGGTTGGGGATCATCTCACAGGGACTGGGGATCATCTCACAAGGGTTGGTGATCATCTCACAGGGGTGGGGATCATCTCACAGGGGTGGGGACCATCTCACAGGGGTGGGGACCATCTCACAGGGGTGGTGATCATCTCACAGGGGTGGTGATCATCTCACAGGGGTGGGGACCATCTCACAGGGGTGGGGATCATCTCACAGGGGTGGTGATCATCTCACAGGGGTGGTGATCATCTCACAGGGGTGGGGACCATCTCACAGGGGTGCTGATCATCTCACAGGGGTGG